TAGTCTTCATTTGTTCTACGGACAGCGCGATACTGCGATGACATAACAATTTAAATTTCGAATAGGTTGACTTGGGACATTTTTTTCGTGGTTTTTGTATTAGACCCGTCGTCCATTTATTTGTAAGTAAATGTCTGTAATGTAAATATTACAGAGGGGGATGACGTCACAAATTTCAGTATAACTTCCAATCCGCTGTGGCTTCAAAGTTTTTTTTTTACGATAGCAAGTAACGGGACGAAAGAACTGTTCAAAACCGTTACAGTGTCACTTTGAAGCCTTATATCACAAATATTTGAAAGATACTGCCACTGCGCCTGTCACCCTGAGATATGAGTTGACCTTTCATTACCAGAACGCAGTAATGCTCATATTACTGTATGATTGTATAAATCTTTATTGCACAAAGAAAAGATACATAAAACACAAGTTACAAAACACATATACAAAGGTGAGTTTATCCCTAGAAATCCCTAGAAGAGATCTCTTCCAGCCAACCCTTTTTTTTTTTGACGGGGGGGAAATCTTTATGGATACCCTTAAGCCCAGGGAGACTCAGGGGTTATGTGGGGACTCGCCCTCCAGACTGGAGGGCCTATCCCACTAAAACCCCGAGTTTCCCTCTCGCCGGTTGAGTCGGCGCCGTGGGATCAGTGAACATTCACCACGACGCTTCCAGCCAACCCTAGCCGTTGTGGAAAATTGAAGTCTGCGGGACTAATTATTGTACAATAAAATTTAAATTTAAATTTGAATAAAAAATATATAATGGTAATATACATACAGACCTACACGAACTTTATATACATAAATACTAACACAAGCAGAATATATATTATAATTTTATATTTTTACTTTTAAATTTATACATATGTTACCGATTAACTATCTAATGCGTTCAACATGTGTCCTTTTAGTTATTGCTGCTTGGCGGCAAAAATGGGCAAAGTGACAGTACTTCTCGAACAGTTTCACAAATTTACTGCTAAAAATATGTAAATATAAATAATAAGAGAATTCCAGTGTGCTGTTTGGTCCAAAGAGGGGTATGGAACAAGGAACCTGAGTATCTTTTTGAAAACTCACTTGGCTGAGTGACGTTATTTAGATTTACAGGTGAAAAATCTAATTACAAATCTCCACAAGTACCACAAAAAAATAAGTTATTAAGTTTTTAGTCAGCAGAAACTAAAACACAAAAAGCACAGGAGTCTTCGGTCTACTACATGCGACATACGAAAGATTCCTACATAAGTCCTACATAAGTCGTCACGGTACAGGAGTTACTTCAACTTTAGTGCTGCAAGGATATGGAACGATTTGCCCCCACCAATGAGGAAGAAATTCGGTACGAACCGGTTCAGAGCCTTATTTAAATCAGCAATAATAAAAAAGCAACTTGCAGCAGCGGATCGAAGCACTCTTGCTGGAAAGCACTAAAAGTGGAGAATTATTTTGAGACCTGATTAACACACACACACACACGCATGCCCGCCCGAAAGATAGCCCTCCCGCCCGAGCCCGTCCGCCCGCACGAACGCACGCACGCACGCACGCACGCACGGACACACATTTTTTTTAGGCCCTCGTTGATTTTAAGCCCGCCTAAGATCTTAGAGACAAGGAGGTGGCTGAAAAACAGCGCTGCCTGCGACAACAACTGTTCCAGGCATCATGTTTGGCGTACCGTTTGTTGTTTGTTTATTTTTTGGCTTAACATGTTACTTACGTCCAAAAAGTGTCATTGTGGTAATAAAGGATTTTTGTATTTGTATATACTAACAATAATCTAGGATTAGGACAGTTCAAAAAAATTCACTAAAGATTCTTTAAGTTAAAATTCAATTCATTAAGTTATTGAAATTGAGATCACTATTATGTTGATTTGTTGGAGACCGTAATCTTAATGTCCAACGAAACACCTGTAAAGAGTTTCATCGATATTTGTTGACCAGTATAGACTAGCACTTCAGGCGCTAGATGAGGAAGTCCCGGTTGGACGAAGTTAGGAAACAAACTTTTGTCAATTGGTTCAGGGTGGTGGCCTCAGATCAGATAATTTCGTTACCCTGATGTTCACAGCGAGAGCGGTGATGGCCCAATGGGAGAAAAGTTGCATGTCAATAGAGATTTCGACGGTTCGAATCTCTGTGATGGTATTTATTTATGCAAGTATACAATTCTGTATTGTAAAGTCAATAATTTCATTAATTTCATTTTAATTTTAGTATGTAAATTTACATGGGCAGTTCAGACAGCAGTCAAACAAAATTAGTACTAATTAATAAATGTAAACATTTAGCGAACAATATTTAAAATCTTCGAAACAATAATCAAAATCCAAACGTTAATCTTCATGTAGAGTTTTAAATGTTTTTGACAACGTCAAAATGCTAATCGTATGTCAGGAATATCATTATTTTAAACATAATCTGCAAAAGCGAATGCGCTCTGAACATTTGCTCTCTCTTTCATACATACCAACGTATACTTTGCCGGGATACAACAACGTATATGGACGCGCAGACCGGACTACATGCTATCGGAAATTCTGAACGATCTACCAGACACTGTGCTAAGTGACATTGAGGGTGATATCAAGAAATCCAAAACTGTTTTAAGTTTAAGTTTTGGTTTGTAGTATGATATCTATAGCACTTATTTAAATGTAGACATATACTATAGAATTAAGTATATTATAGTGAATTGTAAGTTAATTTAAGTGTCGAGCTTGTTAGCTCATCGCTAGGTGGTTGAAGAGATGTTTTTTGTAACAAATAAAATGTACAAATACTTAATATAAATTTCAACAAAAATTTTGCGTCTGTTATGAGTGAATAGATAACACTGTTAAATATTGACAGTAATACTAGCAACAACCACGACAACATCATCCAAATGGTGAACTGGACTGAAGATGATAACTTGGAATAGGCAGCAGCGAGGTCATTCCACTCACGACACATACGGGTGAGGGGATTATAAAATGCTATAGGGGTATGTACTATAAAAGTCATATAAGGGTACATACTCTATTAAAATTGAAAGTCGTAAGTAAATACATACTCATGACTTTAAAATTTTATGTTATAAAAAAGTAACTATCCACGGAGTCTTTAAATTTTAATATCGCACTTAACCAACCCTGATTTACAGCACCAAAAATTTGTAAGGATCGGCATTATACTGCAGGATCTCTAGATTTAATTGAAAATAAAAAAATATTATTTTAAAAATAAATATGAAGAAGAAAAACAATTATGATAGAACAAATGAAACATAAAAAAATGCAATAGAATAAAAATCAGGAAAAATCTACGTCGTTGATATAATTGCGCCCGCGCATGAAATTAAAATAAACGACCCATTGACACTTCAATATCACAATTTAAATACTAAAATATTTAAAATACATTTAAACAAGATAATTATAACTTCATATATTAGAATAAGTTCTTCTCTAGTATTCATATCAAGTAGTATTCACAGTATTTGTTTATAATATTGAGTGACTGGAAGAATCAGAGTAACCCAAAAATTTTGGTTGAGAACCATTCGAAAGTTCAAATAATACTGAATGAATTTTATTGCAAATAATGTTATTATGTTTATTTATACATAATATCTTTTCTAGTTTCAATATCGTTCAATCGTGTTTTACTCAATTCCACAATTTTGAGTTACGACAATAACTGGTTTCATGCGCGTCATTACATAAGGTAGGTGTATACGCAGCTGTGAAAATCAGCATATTTGTATTTTATATTATATTCCGATTTCAAAGTAAATAATTAAAGCACTTGTGTTATGGAAATCGGAAACAACGACGGTACCACAAACACCCAGAGACAATATACAAAAGTTAATTTCTACATTGACCCGGCCAGGGTTCGAACCCGAGACCTCGCAGAGATGGCGACATGAAAACCCGTGATGTACGGTCGTTAAACTAATTTTTTTTCCTTGTGATAGTAAATGCCTGTGCATGTAAATTCACCTGCACTCTTGCCCTTCAAAACCGAAACTCAGTAATACACACATTACTTCTTGGCGGCAGAAATAGGTAAGGTGGCAGTACTTCCCTGGACGAGCTCTTTCACAAGGACCTCTACTGCTACTACATAACTATGTAATAATATAATATAAAACTAATATAAAATATCAGTCTACAATTATTGTGGTTTCTATTTTGCGGAGAAATTAATGTCTTTTTTTTATATAGAATTAATTTCAAAGTTCTGTTACGTTAGTGAACTCATAGTAGCACACTTTTGGTTCTAAAGCACGGCAATTTAGAACCAAAACTGTCCATGACAAAGGAAATACCTTAAGAACTCGATATGTCCATGACAAATTGTTTTTTTTTTTATAATATCAAGTGACCTACACGCCCTGTTCATAACGGTTGCGGTGCCACTCAGAGCTTTAAATCGCAAGTATCTGAGGGCACTGCCACTGCGCCCGTCACCCTGAGACATAAGTTGACAAGTCCCATGTGCCTGTAATTTCACTGGCACCCCTTACCCTTCAAAACCGAAACACAGTAATGCTCACATTACTGCTTGGCGCCAGAAATAAGGAAGGTGGCAGTAAAGCCTTGGACGAACTCTTTCTTAAGGAGCCAAGGAGATAATTATTTGATTAACATACTAGACTTATAACGTATTACCAAAAAATAATTTATCTCTAAATAAAAAAAAATACCATAACCTCGTGTTTATTATATATTCGTTATTTAATACATCAAAAACCTTTCATGAAGAGTCTAGTACATTATGTTACTCAAATAATTGTTTATTTAAACAATATTGGTTCACAATTTCATTTTCGTTGTTGTGAATTTTCTTCCATTGTTATTATTGACAAATTTAAAAGAATGCGGGGCATGGACCGGTGTCTTGCTGACGTCACCAGTGCCTCACCGCTAGAAACTCCGGCGCTGATCCCCTCCCGCGTCGCCCCTCAAGCCTCAGACAACAAAACAGTTATGCTTACGAACCACGACCGAACGCGTCTTCGTTCTTTAAGAACTTTAATAATTATGTTTTAAATCGTTATGTTATAAGACCTTCATTCATTTTTCAATAAATGAAGTTTTAAGTTAGTGTCCTAAACAATAATAGTGTTATTGCATTAAACAGTTTTGCGTTTTCAGAGTAAGTGTTTGTTTTTCTTCAATTTGTTGTCGTGTCTTGCATACCGGTGTTATACATAGATTAAGGTTATGCAAAGCTTCTGATTTGTATTGATTAACTTACTTTAATGGTAAGTTGTACTTAATTACGAGTATGTTAGACTTATTCAAGTGTATTTATTTATTTATTATTTATTAATTTTAGTACATAGTGTTAATAGCAAGTGTAATATCCAGTCTATTATTGATCGTGCTCTATTTTTATAATAATAATGCTTTTGCAAAGAGATCAATAAAAGACTGAACAAAATTTATGTAAGTGTGAGAAGCGAAAATAATCTCTACTCACCCCTTTGGTATAATTGATAAGATAATTATCATTGATTTTTATTACTGCAAAGATCTTGATGAATATTTTATTATAGGTAATTATTGTTTTTTTTTTTTTTTTACAAAATGCTATAGCTAGCAATGTCGTGCCATTTGTTTGTATCAGACGTACACAATAGTATTCAATGTCAATTTTAAAAAGTCACAAACCTAATCGCTTTCCCAAATATTTTTCTTAGTTTTTATTTACTTATCGAGTTCTTAGGTTTTCGCGATTGTTACACATAGGAAATGAAACTATTTTTCCGGATTTAAATCGCGTACTTATATTTGTTTTTTCAAACAAACTAACGTTTCGGGCCCTTAAAAGGACCCATAGTCACGATTGAGTCAAGTAATAATACCTCACTCGGAAATCTCGAGATAATTAAAAATAAAAGATGAATAATCTCAGTATAGAGTACAAAAAAAAAACAACCTAAAAGTCATTCATCCCCTAGTTTGCCACCCTTAGAAGTGGAACATTTTCTTCAAATTTAAATGGGACCACTTCTGAGGCACCCTCTTTCCAACTAGGTATATCTTTACTGACAATTACGAAACTATTTTCTGATTACACTACCGTAATAAAATGATTGTTATACTCTATACTACATTCAAGAGCACGTCAAGCTTGACACTGCACTTTGGAATGTTCGTATCCTAAGCTGCATAGAGTTGGATTTAAATATTAAGTGTCAAGCTTGATGTGCTCTTGACCCTGTACAAAAAGACAAGTACGGTAACTCCAAAGAAACAGCAGCGTGGTTTATATGTGTACGGGTCCGCCGCGTGCCGTGTACGGACGCACACATTCGCATAATCTCGCGATGCATTCGCATTACATAACGCTGGTCGTCACACGCACCTTTCATTGTCATGCGAGTGTGTGCGTCCATACACGACGCGCGGTGGGTGAGCACACATACAAGTCGCTACGTTTGTATGAAGTTACCATACTTGTCTTACTATACTATAGTAAAATTAGTTACTCGCTGTAGGCCGAATCATCGGGGCGGGACTGCGATATTGCAGCTTCTCTCTCACCTGTTTAATTGAGGTACGCACGTGACGTGGCATGTCCGTTATCGACAGAAACAAATAACTCACTAAGGGCGCGTGGCGGCCAGGGCGGTCTGTGTTACACCTTAGGAGTAATTTATTTATTTATTTTTAGGAAGATTTACAGCGAATTTTTAACAATAAATAAATGTTGAATAACAGGTAAAAATGCTAATTAGAAATCTCCACAAGTAGCACAAGAAATAAGTTAAGTTTTTAGTCTGCAGAAACTAAAACATTATTATTGAAACGTAAACATCATAATATTATTTTATACATTGAGTACAAGTACAATTGCCAATGCAGGGAAAAAAATTGAAAAATATTAAACCCTATATAGCCCAACCAACAACACGCACATCTTAAAGACTGGAAACAAAATAATGAGAGATAGATAATTACGTAAAGTATTGCTTAGTAAACGTTCGTCGAATCAAGCCTACACTAGTACTGAACAGATCTATGATCTGATAAAAAATAAATTTTCCTATTATTATAATTGGTCTTCGCCCCGGGCACACACAGCACCGGTCGACGCTTGACACTCAGCTGATTAGTCCTAAAGGATAATTTAGACAGTAGTTCCGAAGAGTCAATTTTACTGTTTATTATGCTATACAGGAAGCAAATGTCTGTCATTAACTTTTCGTCTATAATCGAGAGGTACAAAATGATTACGCTTACAACGCTCCACATAGCCTGCCGTTCGCTGTTTTGTCTTATAATCTGAATACCTTAAAAACTGTTTTACATGGCTTCAATACGTGATTTCTAAACTCCGTATCTAGGGTTCCACATCTGAGAAGCATATTCGAGAACACTGCGTACAAGAGAACAGTACAATATTTTAATAGGCTATAAGTCGGTAAAATCATTGCACGCTCGCATCAAGAATCCCATGGCTCTATATTTATTAACTGCTATTGCTAAATGTCGAAGTTTTTATTTTAGAACCATTCCCGTTTCAACGTTGACCCTGCCACAATTGATAGTTTTTATGAAAATCATATTTCACGTCGAAACTAATATTACAGCTCAAGTACGTATCTATGAATGAAAAAGTTTATATCTTTCTTCTTAATACTTAATGACATTAATGTTGGGACTTCGTAGTAAGTATTATCTACCTGTGGCAGGAAGGAACGATCTTTCACTTCAATTTAGTAATATAATAACAATTAGTTGAATATATAAAAAACAATCTATATCGATAGCATTTATCGACTGCAGTAATGCACGGCCCTTCGCTTAAACAAAAGGAGAGAGAGCGCAATATCGCTATGTGCAGCGAGTAAATAATCTTACTATAGTTTGTTATAATTATAAGTACAAAGATCGAACGCAGAGAAAATCCTTTGATTTACCAACCTAGGGCAACCGCTCTACCCATTTTTATGTTTATTTCCTTTTTATTCTTTGTTTTATTAACATATTGCTTTTTCAACGAAATTAATAATATTAATATCAGTTTTCAGAGTTGGATGGATAAGGACACCACTACAGTAACCGAAGGTTGGCTATCAACATGCAAGCCAACTCCTCGGACATGCAGCCACCACCAGGTTTGTGCAATAAAACACTGCTAAACGCAATGCCCTTCTTAAAATAAGGCGATAATCGGATTACATAGACAAAAGTTATATATAACAGTGAAATGGCCCGTAACTATAACAATAATGTAACCATAACGAACTAAATAAGAATGTAAGTGTAGAACAAAAGTGAATGATGAGAGTGAAGAAAATAAACATAACATAAAAGTGAATAAAAAACGGTGGCAGGCAGTGTTTGGACAAGTTTGTTTATGTTTTAGATTTTTTTTTTATTATTACGTAAAACTTATTTAATACACTCTCCTGAGAGGACATCCGTGCCCTGCAGAGAGACGTATGGGTTGATGATGATGAGTTAAATTTTTATTAGTAACTAATTGGTTAAAATTAGTTTATCCCTAAATTCCCTCGAAATTTTCAATAGACAAAATCCCACGTCTAAGTACAGAGTGTGGCGCCCCCACGGTTATGAGAGACGGAAGGAAAGTATTTTGAATATTGTAGAAGCTTGGACTTGACCTGGAATGACACAAGAGGACTACTAATTGCAATACAAGGAAGCGTAGTCGGGTATTTAGTATTTACAGGTACACCAGATGTCGCGACGAGTAACTAATTTGTTTTACATTGTCGAGCTGCAATTTTTCAAATGCTATTCTAATTTCTAGTGATAACAAACAAATTAACCAGATGACACTTATTGCTACGTCATTTTTATGGATACTGCCGGCTATTTTTTATTTTGTTTAAGATTAGCTCCATTTACCCATGTTCATCGTTAAACTTAAGAGTTATAATCTTGTCGGTGGAGCATCTTCCAGTCATCTCTCCTACAAGTATCCAGGATCGTTCTTTTCTCGTTTACCATTGTCAATACTTCCTCATTAGTTTTCTTTTCTATCCAACTTATGCCCTTGATCCTCTTCCAGCATCTTCCTCCAGCAACGCTTGCTACCCATGTTAGCAAGCGCTAATTTTTAAATAAGTTTGTAACACACGATGCTTTCTATATTTTCCATATTTTTCTTAAAGTTCACGAAATGGTTGTAACTCATGCAAGATCAATATTTGAATTGGATTTCATTAGCGCCATCTGTATAGAATAGTTTAGAAATAGGTAATATTGCATTCAAATACTTAAAAATAAAATAATGTCGCAATGAAGCTAAATATCTTATAGTCTAACTTTTTTGAAGAAGGAGCAAATTGACATATGTAGAGTTGCCAGTTTTCATAAAATTTTAAATAGTAATGTAGTTATTGTCGATTGTTTTATCGATAGATTGTGAAAGAAGATAAAATTATACTAAAAATGACTACATTGTGAATGTTACGACGTTCTAATTATTACTAATTGAGTTATTGTCTTCATTATTCTTATTTTAACAGTTAGCCTACTATAGTATCGAGATAAATTTTTATTCATTTACATTTTAACAAAAATAGCCAGAAGTGATTATCTATATTGAATTTAAATTAAAATCTTAGTCTTAAATACAATGTATATATATATGAACTTATAAAAATTGACAATTGAAATGAACTTGTGCTCAATAATTGGATGAATAAGAGGGTCGAGGATGATTGAAATGAAACAAGTTCAGCTATTTATTCCATAAGCGTGACCAATATTCAGTCGATAGTCGATAGAATATTTATCAACTGCAATCACTAGCTGCTCGCAAGCGGGCAACACTTTAGCACATTGAACTGTCATTTTACTCCGTCTTCAAAAAGACAGACTGTACAATATTTAAAGTACCTACTTTGTATACGTTGTACCCTGTATATAAAAATTGTTAGTAAAATTATACTTTACGTCCTTAACACATCGTTACCGTCACTTGATGTTATATAAAAAAAAAGTTGACAAGTCCCATTTACCTGTAATTTTGGGCTTACCGTTCAAAACCGTAAGGCTCAACTCATGTCATGTTTTTCGCCTACAGGATATTCATCTGTATTTTTCCATTATTAAGGTACGGACAACGGCACATCAGACTACACATTTTTGTTCAAAACTCGCCTCCATTGCAACGGAACAAGATACGTCAATGTGTAGCTTGATGTGCTAGCGTGTGTACAAACGAGACGAACTCTTTCACAAGGATTTTAAATTAAGATAACCTTAAATCTAACAGTGGTTCACCGCTCTTATATAACTAAATAACATTTTTTTAAATAACGCACACACTCAATATACAATATTGCTACAACAACAATACACATAACATTGTGCAAAGCTCGTGATAATTAATGAGCATTAGTGATATTATCACTATCTATTCATTCTATTTCAGTTGTTTCCATTAGTTTACTAATTAGCATAATCATAAGGACTATTGAGTGTCATCATAATCCTGCATATCCCCATCAATTAATACCTGATTTAATAAGTTACTTTGAGGATAGTTAAGTTCTTGACAGGCTAAGAGATTTCCAGTTAGAAAAATTTGTCCTAAAGGGAAGAATCGTTAGTCGTTTTAAGAAGTCACCACATTTATTAATAGGTACGCAATTAAGTGTGAAACGATCAGAGGAAGGTTTATTTCCACGCAGTAAGAACGAAAAAGACGTTGCGCTATTCCGCTCGGGCCATCCCGTCATGAAACACATTACGTCTTTTTCGGCCTTATTTCATTTTTTAATGATACCCAGTGGCGGGACGAACAAGTCGAGCTCCTGGTGTTAGCCAGCAAGCCTTTCCAAAGCAGTTACAGTGGCACTTAAAGCCTTAAATAGCAAAGATCTGAGCGACACTGCCACTGCGCCTATCACTCTGAGATTGACAAGTCCCATGTACCTGTTATTTCACCAGCACCTTTAGAGCATCCGCGCACTACGTCCGATTTGTATAAGTTCCGAATCCGAGAAATGGCGGTCCGAAATGTCACAGGGATCATTTTATCTCTAGGTGTACAAGTGATACTGGTATTTTCCCGGATTCGAGTTGGATTTAGTGCACCAGGGACATTCGAAGTGGGTTGGAGTTTTCTAGATTTGTATAGTCTCTTATTCGGAAGTCAACATAATCATTTATTCCATAGGTAAAATTTTTACACTTGAAAACATAATTTTTTAAGCTACTGCTCGTTCTACTACCCCGACCTCCCTGAGAAGAACGAGCAAGAAACTCTAGGGATTGCTCTTTTCAAATAAACTTAAATGTTACAGAATACATTTTGAATCTTATTTGTTTGGACTCATGTTGTCTTTCCATACATCTTTATCTAACACGTAGTCTACAATTTTGTAATCATCATTCCACTGCTGAACATAAGCCTCCTCATAGAACTCTAGTCACACTAGAACAAGTCGCGCTGCTATATATGAGTTACCATTGTCTTATTATACTATGGTGATACCCCGGTTTGGCAAAAAAGTCATTGGTTCAAGTCCAGCCAGATCGAAAGAATGTGAGAATGATGTGTTCTTTGTATTAATAATTATAAGAAACTAGTGGAGTAATTTGCCAAAAAATAATTGAATATCATGGTGCTAGTAGCTGTAAAGGTACCTGGCTGAGTGAAGAAATAGATTTCTCACAGACGGCGCTACGGCGACAAAGTCGTTAAATAAACCAAAAGAAAGATATGCAACAAGCACATAGAAAAAAATGCGTAAGGTCCGTTGGTTCGTTTCATGAATTAACTGGAATATCGTCCAGCACGGTTTGCTAGAAAACGCTGTTTCGAATCCAGCCGGACCGAAGGAATTTTCTTAGTATTCGATCTTTGTGTTAATAATTATAACAAACTAGTGGAGTAATTTTACAAAAAAATAATTGAATATCATGGCAGTAAAACAACGAGATATTCAATAGAAACTTAAAAATTACTATTTACTTAATTAATTCTCCTGAACAGAAATAGCTTTTATAAAAATAAGAGATATCAGATCTAACGTCGTCGATTATTTCGGTAAAACATCGAACAAAAGATACCGTTAAAGCACACAGTAACCCACGTTGTATCTAAGGTACATAGTAGAACGCTATCTTAATAAAAATCTTTCATTTCCGGCGCCGAACCGCATCGCCATCGTCCGCTGCACCGGACCGAACCGCCCACTGTCCAACTTCCGAATAACTCATTTCCTACAGATACCGATTATTGTTGTATTACTTTTTTATTTTTATCGAGAAATTTTATATCCGAGGTTAATGGAATTTCTGGATAAGTCGTATTTAAGTTGTGATAAGTTGAGCGATATGATTTCAAGCACTAAAGATCATACTCAAGTCCTTGCCATTAGGGTCGTATTTCCAGTGCTTGAAATCATACTCAAGTCCTGACTTGAGCATTGAGTAGAGTTCTGGAATACGACTCTCAGACTTCACTGAGATTACATTGGAATTATCTCCGTGGTCGAGTGGCTTGGAGTTTTCATGATCGTCACATCTGAAGTCCAATGTAAAAAACAATTTTTTCTATATTGTCTCGGGTCTGGGTTTGTATGGTACCGTTCGTTGTTTCCGATTTACTTAGCACAAGTGCTTTATAGGAATGAAACTATTTTTCCGGATTTAAATCGCGTATATTTGTTTTTTCAAACAAACCGACGTTTCGGGCCCTTTACAGGTCCCATGGTCACGGTTGACTCGTCGTCGTCGTCGTTGAAACGTCGGTTTGTTTGAAAAAACAAATATACGCGATTTAAATCCGGAAAAATAGTTTCATTCCTATGTATAACAATCGCGAAAACCTAAGAACTCGACAAGTGCTTTAGTTACATACTTTGGTATCAGAACAACGGATGTGATGTTGTCTGCCTCCCTGCCCTATAAGTGCCTCCGTGGTCGAACGGTTACCATGCAGAGGTCCCGGTTTCGATTCCCGGTAGGACAAATTGAGAAATGAACTTTTGCAAATTACTTCTGATCCGAGTTTTATGAGTAGTATCTCAGAGTGAATTCCGCTGCTCTGGTACTCATAGAATACTTATTTTAAGTAGCAGTAGAGTTCCTTTTGAAAGAGTTTCTCCAGGGCTCTACTGCCACTTTACCTATC